TAAAAGTGTCTTATACACTTTGAATTGTAACAATTAATTATTGATTTTAATTAATAATATATTTTAATACACATTCTTTAAAATGAAACTAACATTAAATTGGTTTAACAGGTTGCCATTTAAACACATTAAATGAACGAGAAGACAAAAAAAGGATTTGAAACCTGGAAAATTGTAGGAAATGTATGCAGTCCAATTTACACTATGTAAGGTTGCAACGCAATGCTCTGTCAGTCTGTTACATTGCTTATTTCACCATCAGTGGTATTATTTTTCTTTTTATAAACATCTATTGTTGGAGGCACTTCCCTGATATTTACAGTTAGGAATAAAATTCGAGCACCATACAGTCATTCTCTAGGTAAGCAATTATTTTTTTTAACTTATTATCAACTTAGTTTTTATAAAAATTTGCCATCTGTGGCATCTTTGGTTTTACTTCTAACACTTAATTATTGTCCACATCATAAATTGACGTTATGAGCTTTCTTTTTTACAATTATCTATTATCCACAGCATAAGTTGATGTTAACGTGCATCTGTGATTACGTCTTACCTTTAAATTACTCTTAACATTTCTTTATGTCATGAATGAAATTGGGATTTCGTCTTTATATCATAATTTAGCTATTTAACTTGTTTTATTGGAGCATATTTTTATTGGATTTCATATTTTACTTTCCTCTTTAGTTCATAGTTTGATAGTCTTTTGTTCATTTCTACAGATCTTTCAACAAATGCGAGAGAGTTAAAGTTCAGTTGGATGGTCATATTGAAAACACCAATATCTACAATGGTGTTGTCTTTCCTGGACTATATTCTTGATTTGCTGTTTTCGTCTTCATCTTCACCTTGCAGCATTTTAATTTCCACTGAAGCAACAAGTTTTCTGCTATGGTATTCCTCCTAAATTTGGTTTGCTTTTCACACCTGCAAACTTTGGAATGTCACTGTTCATGTTGGAATGTTACTGGAATGTCTGCTGTTCATTAAGGTGAGAATATTTGATATAATTAATTTTAATTGCTTTTTATTAAACTGTTACTACCGTATCTGTTTCAGATCGACGGTGGAGAAGAAAGAAGAACACCCCGTAGCTAAAATACTTGTCTATTTTGCATGTTTTTTATAGTTTGGTGTATTTGAATCAATTTTTTATTGTAGATGTTTTTATTTTTGTAGTATTCTTTTAATTTTTTTAGTAGCAGCGGTAGAACTAACCGTTTTTTTTTTAGATGAAACTATCATTAAATTGTTTCGACAGGTTATGATTTTAACACATGAAACGAACAAGGTGAAAAAATAAGGATTGGAAACTTGGACTCTCCACAACCTCTTATACTTGAAAGGTGCAATTTCAGTGATGTTGTGTGTTTTGCGTGTTGGCTCATTTCACCATCAGTGTATTTCTTCGTTGTCAACGTTTAGGAATAGAAGTGGAGCACCCTACTGTCTACAATAATCCCGGAGGTTAGCAATTGTTTATTATTTTGACGGTAATTTTCACAGCGATGGCGATCCTTGGGATCTATGGTTTCTCTTCTGTCATCTATTGGCCTTAGCATAAATTGATGATAGCGTGCATCTAAGGTAGTCTAGCAACTATCTATTATTCACAACATTGGGTATCTATTATTTCTATTGTACCTATGCTTTTAACTTTTATCTATGAATAAAATGACATAGGCCTTCATTTTGTAATTTGTTATTTACTTATTTTTTAGAGTAAATTTTTTGTGTTTGGCTTAGGCGTATTTAATGCCTTCCTTAATTAAGAATGTAATTAATATGTTGTTTTTGTCTTTTCTGCAGATTATCCAACAAATGAAAGAGACTAATGTTCAACTTGGTCATACTGAAACAGTCAAGGTCTACAGTGGTGTTGTCTTTTGTGAACTATATATTCGTGATTTGCTGTTTTCGTCTTCAGCTTGCAACATCATGAAGTTAATTTTCAACTGATAAATGAGAGCAACAGGAGATTTACTGAAACAACATTTTGTGCTGTGGTATTCCTTCTGGATTTAGTCTGCATTTCACATCTGCAAACTTTGAAAAGTTACAGTCTACAATTAATTAAGGTGGGAATACTTGATATAATTAATTTTAATTGCTCTTTATTAATCTGTTTGCCACCGTATCTGTTTCAGATCGACGTTGGAGAAGACAAAGATGACCCCGTAGCTGAAATAGTTCTTTATCTTGCATGCTCTATCTAGTAGAATTCATTAAGTTCATTTTATTCAAATTAATTTTTATTTTGCATGCTTATTTTTGTTCATTTTATTTGAAGTAATTGTTAATTGTAGATTTTTTTTGTATATAGTAGTAGTGTAGTAGTAGTAAAACTAACACGTTTAGTAGTTGTAGTATAGTCTAACATGTCTCTTGCTTACCTCTTCGCTTAGCTTACTGCATATTCTTACTATAAATTGCTTTGCATTTACCCTACGAGTTCTACATGATTCAACGTTTCGTTATCGTGTGTGTTTCTTCTCACCCTTGTGGAATTAGGGAGGGCCTCCCCGAACGACTTCCCTTGGGCTTAGCTATTTAGTTGATCTTAAAAGTGTCTTATACACTTTTC